ATGGTGCCTGCACACCCTCCAGAGCCGAGCTCAGAAGCCATCGACCTCTTCCTTCATTCTGGGTGTCGGGCATTTGTCCCAGAAACAAGAGAAGAGTAACCGAGACAGATCTACACCCAGCCAACAGACTCTGCCCTAACCTCCAGCTTTGCGGTTCAGGCTTCCTATGCTCAAACTGCAGTGAAACTTCAATGTCCTACTCATCAGTTGAACTTACTGGCCTGTCTTCAGACAATGTCACCCAACTGCACTTGTACATTCTTCAGTTTCCTTGGAACAGAGAAGAATCAACTCAAAAAGTTAGGGACTCGCTTAATTTACATAGGAGGGGACCTCAAAATTTGGTAGTCTCTCCTGAATTGGCAAGGGTAAACTAATAGATAATTATTTGAATAATTTTGTGGTCAGATTGATTTGATGATGAAACTACCTATCTGTATTGACTGGAAAATATGAATGTCTTCCAAAAACTACTGAAAGAAATACATCAAAGAAAGAAATCCCACTAACTGTACAACTTTATACTATTGCCAGCTGTAAAATTTGCTAACACAAGGGCATATAGGTAGGCTATAGTTTGCTGAGAAAGCAGTAGGTTTAAGTGGTTTTATTTTACATACAATATGATAAGACATAAAGCACTTCTATAATCTAGTCCTTATAATCTCGTCCTTTATTTATCCTTAGATCAGTGTTTTTCAGTTTGAAAGTCACAGTCTTTTAAGTGGGTCAAAACTAGCATCATGTGCATGAAATAGAACAAAACAGAAAGGATCAGAGCTAACATGTAAGGCTAAGTATTGTTCTGTGGACTTTTTGTTTCAGCAGTGTGTTATCCAGACCAGATTGTGATGTAAAAATATTACTCTAAATTGAGGTTAAGTGTTTTGAAAATCAATGATTTAAATATCAGCATTTCATTTTTTGTGAAAAATTCTGAGGAACAGGCCAAAACAAAGATCTGAAATAAACTACATAATTTAAAAATATTTTTTTCTAAAACCTTAGGCAAATTTTCTGTGTGACTCTATGGTCCATGTTTTTACCTTTGCTTTGAGATGTATATTTTTTAGACTCTTGGCGAGTCCTAGATGATATTTGGAAAAGTCAGATTGTCTAGTAAATGAGTAAAATCTATATAATAATGACATTGTCATGTTTTGCGGTTTTTTTCAAGTATTTTACTAGAAAAATGTAAATGTTCATTAATTTTAAGACTTTGCTATCTACTATTGTACCTGGCCAGTTTCCATAAAATGTTTTGTTTTATTCTTTTTTCCCTGTCAAAAATAAAATCAGGGCTGGGGCGTAGCTCAGGGTTAGGGCACGTGCTCAAGGCCCTGGGTTCAGCCTTCAGATGTGTGGGTACACACAGGAGGCCTCCAACAAAGTGGTAAGAAACTTGCACCGCAGCAGCTGCAGCAGGCTTCTACATGATGGAGGAGAAAAGGCTCTGACCTTTTTCATGCCTGTTCCACATCCCTAAGCCAAGAAGAACTGCTTAAACTGATTTGGTTTACAAATCTTTT